GGGGGTGGAGAAGAAGGAGCAGCCCCCCCACCTGACGACCACCTCCGGAGCTTGAAGGCCCTCACGGAGAAACTGAGGCTGGAAACCCGCAGGCCCTCCTACCTGGAATGGCAGGCCAGGCTGGAGGAGCAGACGTGGTCCTTCCCCAGGCCAGCTGCCGAGCAGGGTGGGCATGGGGAGGAGGAGTCCCTGCGCCCCCAGCGTGAGCCCAAGCAGCACCGCCCACCTAATGGGAGTGCCCTCCTGGCAGATGGACCCCAGGCCACTGGCAAGCTGGAAGGCTTTGAAAGTATCGATGAAGCTCTAGCCTGGCTCAGGAAGGAACTGGTAAGTGGCTATCCCTACAAGAATTCCCGGGAAAGGTGCCATCCTCTCTCTCCGTCTCTCTCTGCCTCCACCTCTCTCATCTGTCTCTTCCCCCTACCCTCCCAACTGCACATCCATCATTTTCGCATTAAATCAAGGACAGACCTCATTACTGTGTGGTTACCCGGGATCCATGTTTCAGTCAGCCCCCGATTGCAGGTACCTGCCGAGGAAGCAGGTGTTGCCCATGAGAACTGAGCTGTGCTTGGACCCAGGCACCAGGAGTTCTTAAAGCTCCCAGGGGCTCCCAAAGTGCAGCCGAGGCCGAGAGCCATCGCCACACACCTATGGGCCACTCTCGTTTTCCTCGCCAAGCCGTTGCAAGCCAGCAGCACAAGTGCCTGGCCACAGGGTGCTGCGGGGGGCGAGGGGGGGGGAGGTGGGCCAGGGCCAGGACAACCGTGGGCAGTGCCTAGAGAATGCCCCATAGGCAGAGGAGAGCCCTGATTGTCAGGACTACCTTGGCTGCCGAAGGCTGTCTTCATTAAGGGCACATCTGCATTATGACTAATGCTTTCTATTTGCATATTTTCCAACCTCCCTGTCACTTCTCTATGCTACTGGGGTGGGTAATGATAGTAGCAATAACAATACTGAGAGGTGTCAGGAATTGGCTAATGGTGCCAGATGCTTCTCATGTGTTACTACCTCTTCTGATTGTCCCCTCACCTTCCTGTTAACCCCATTCTACAGATGAGGAAGCTGAGGCTCAGAGAGGAATGCATGAGAGGGGGAAAGGTGAACAGTGGCCCATCTGGCTGCATATCTCACTCTCTCCTTAGCTGCCAACTATATAGTATCTTCCTAAGGCAATTGATTTTGTGATTTCTAGAAATGTAAACTGACAGATGCCAGCAGTGAACAGAATGAGTGGGGGTTGGGTGGAGGGAGAAACGAGATTGAAGGGCTCTTCCAGGATTGCTGTTACTCATCTTACAGATGAGTAAACCGAGGCTCAGAGAAGTCAAACAACCTGCCTAGGGTTGTAAGGCTAATAAGAGGCAAAGCCAGAGCCTGAACTCAGCCTTCACCCTTGAGAGCAGACAGCACTGGGGAGACAGGCAGGAGTCGGGGCAAGACAGGGGCCCTCCGGCACAGGGCCCTGGGCCACGCTGAGTGAGCAACAGCAGGGGCAGAGTTATGCCCCAGAAATCCCTCCAGCGGCAGGGGGACAAATCTCGTAAAGCAATGACTTAAACCCTAATGTGCATACAGATCACCGGGCTCTCTTGTTAAATGAAGATTCTGATGCTATAGGTCTGGGAGGGGGTCCTTGATTCCAAATTTCCAGCACTCTCCAAGCTCCTGTTCTATCTACTGCTGGTCCACAGACCAAGATTTGAGAGTCAAGGCCTGAAAGGTAGGCAAGACTGGGGCCAGGGGACCAAAAGAGGACCCTGGAGGGGAGCCCAGGGATCCCCAAGCCTGCCCCATGACCCCTGTCTCTGCCATGACTGCCCTTAGGGCTTGGGCTCCCGAGAATAAAGTCACAGCACCCCACACTGAGTTTCCAAGAACCAAATTCACTCCGAACAGTGTCTGAGGTCAGCAGCAGCCCACAGCAGTCTGGCCGGCGGGCAGGCCACCGTGAATGTGCGGTTCTGCCCGCGCAGAGGTTAATCAGTACCAGAGCAACCTGCAAAATCCTCTGATGCAGTGGAAAGCAGAGGGTTCAACCTTGAGCAACCTGTTCTCCCATTTTGAAGTCTTAGTCAGAACATTAAATTTCCTTCATTGTTTTCCTAATTCATCATCTGTTAACTCTCTGAAGGGGTCATTAAAACCCAACCTATTTTTTTTAACCCAATAAAAGTGGTTTCAAATAATCTTTGTTTTGTTTTAAGCCCAAAATCAAGTCTTGTCACTACCTGGGCAGGCCTCTCTGCCAGTTTGTTAGGTTCATGTGCAAATTTGTCTTTTCTCCTGATGTGGCCACAGAAACAGAATAAAAATCTGTAATTCTGTCAGCCATGTGGCTGTTTTACCCACAAGATATGATGCCAAATGCCCAAGTTGACGGAAGTCTGGGCTCGGTTGTGGGTCTGTGCCCAGTAGAGGGCAGGCCCTGCCCAGTTGAGCTCCCTGACGGTTGCAGGCTCTCCCAGAAGCACTGGCTAAAACTAGCAAGGCATTACAGTCGATGCTGGCTCTTTCAGAAACAGGTGGTGCTGGGTCTGGAATCTGGTCCATCACCTGCCTCCTGCGAGGCCAGTTCAAAAGCAGAGACTTGAACTCAGGGATTAGGGACTGCCTGAATCTTGTCTTATTTTCAAGGCAAGAAAGGACCCCGTGGCCAGCTCCGGCTCCTGCCACTGCCTCAGCTCTCACCGCAGGGAAAATGACAGCTACTCACACCCCCAGGACCTGCACACAGGCTCCTCTGCTGGGTGACACAGGGAGGTGGAGATGCTCAGACCCCACTGGCGCTGCTCCTCCCAGAGAAGAAGAAGGCCTGGCTTCGGCCTCTGAGTATTCAGAACATGTGTCCCCATCTGGCTCTGGCCAGCAGCGCTGCCATGTCTGCACCGGGCAGCTTCCGGCCACCTGACCCCTCCAGGATGAGGCCTGGCCTCACTGTTTGCAGGAGACTGACCCACAGCCCTACGAAGTGACCCTGGTGCAACCTGCTTCTTCTGTTACCAGCTCACAGCCTCCAGCTTCCCCCCTTCAGGGCAGCCCCCCTCCCCAGGTGGCTGAGGGGCCCCGGCAGTGAGCAGTGCTCCAGGAAGGGGTAAACCAGCAAGGACACAACCCTGGCAGAGGGGCTCTCAGCCCTCGGCTGAGTCTGGAATCCAGAACATTTCCCAAGCCTCTTCCTATGCTTGGCCCCAGGGCTTGAACACAAGGGAAAAGGGAACCCCCTCTGTCTTCTCTCTTCAGTCCTGCTAAAATGTTTTCCTTGCCAACCTGAGGGATAAAGAACAGGGAGAAATCTTCTGCTTGGCCTGTGTGGTGCCAAAACTAAAAACAAAAGAAAACATTCCCAGCTTCCTAAGGGGCTGTCTTTGTGATGAGAATTCCTGGGCCTCAACAGATACTTTCCTTTTAGTTTCATGCAGGTGTTTGATCCCTGTAGACAGGGCCCCCACAAGGCGTTTATGCTTGTTAGAAAAAGAGAAAAGGAACCTGGCAGTTTTTAACAAATACATGGCTGGCCATGGAGTGGGCTATAGACCAGACTAGGACTCTGCCGGCCCCTCTACGGCCAGCAGCTCAGTTTGAACCACTCCTGGATTAACCCTCTTTCCTGTGCTGCCTGCCTGGCAAGCACATGCTTGACGTGTTCAGACCACAAAGACGTCACATCACCTGCCCAGAGCCGCTCAGCCCACTGGGGGCTGATCCCGACCCTGTCCATTTGGGCTGCTATGCGGGCGGAGGCTTGTGAACAACAGGTGGTTATTTCTCAGGGATGGTGGCTGCTTGTCTAGGGCCAGGGTGCCCGCAGGGTCAGGGGAGGGCCGTCTTCTGGGTCACAGGCTTCTTGCCTGACCTCACCTGGTGGAGGGGGCGAGGGAGCTCTCTGGGCGTCCTTTGTAAGGGCACTGATCCCACTTGTGGGGCTGCACCCTCAAGACCGCAGCCCCTCCCACAGGCCCACCTCCTAACCCCCGGGCATGAGGGCTTCAACGCATGCACATGCGGGGTACAAACATTCAGCCCAAAGCAGGCTGGGATCCAGAGCCTCTGGGGACAGACCTGGGGACCTTCATGCCTCTCCCCATGCTACCCAAAGGCCAGCCTCACCTGGGAAGACAGCAGGTTGGCCCAGGATGTTCCAAGTTCGAACATCAAAAACCTTATCATACACGCAGGGCTTGACTCATGCCGCAAGAATGGCGAGTCCCTGGCAGGGCTGAACGCACCCTGCTCTGTGCCCTGGCTGTGGGGCTCTGCTCCGACCTTCCCGCCCAGCACAGCCTCTCAGAGGGGCCTGGCCAGGCAGAGGAGTCGTGTCCTGGCCAGGGGATGAAGCCACGGTGTCCTCCCGCCCGTCACACCCAGGCCAGCAGCTTTCAGGAGAGCCCGGGACCGCCGGGCGCTGCGAATCTGACAGCTCCGGGGACCTCATGTGGAATCATACAGTATTGGTCCTTTTGAGGCGGGCTTATTTCACTTGTACAATGTCCTCTGGGTTCATGAATGTTGTACCACGTGTCAGAATTTCCTTTCTTCTTAAGGTGGAATAACACTCATTTGCACACGTAGACCTTTCTGCTTATCCATTCACCGTCCACAGACACTGGGGCGCTCCCGCTTCTGGGCTGCTGTGAACACAGGTGCCCATATCTGTGTGAGACCCTGCTAACCATTCGTGTGAGTATATTCCCAGAAGTGGGATTGCCAGATCCTGTGGCAATTTTATGCTTAGTTTTTTGAGGAACCGCCATCCTGTTTTCCAGTCACTTTACTGCAGGCTTAGTTTTTATCCACTGTCCCCCATCATCCCACTCAGAGGCAGGAAACAGCCCTAATTCCCCAGGAAATTCTAGTGCCCCGCCACACGTGACCCACAACACGTGGCTGAAAAGACCTACAGCAAACCACGCACATTAGACATTCCTGATCTCAAACACGTGTTGGCAACAGCCAAGCATCAGCCACTAGCACAGCTATTGAGGCCACTGACCTGACCGTCCACCATGGCTCCGTGGGCTTTCCTGCCTGGCAGAAACCCACCCCTGCACCACAGGGTGCTGGCAGCTGGGCACGGGGCATGTCTTCCCCTTTCACCAAGTGCTGCGCCTAACTGCAGGAGGGCGGGAGTCCAGGCCACCGCTCTGAGAATCCAGACCGTGTTTTTATCCCACGGGGCAGCAGGCCCCCTGGGAGGGGAATGGAAAACCCTGCAGCTGAACCTCCACCAGGAGCCCATTAAACCCACTGAGGGCCAGGGTTTTAGGGCCAGCATCTCAGTCTTTTCAATGAAGTCCTAAGCCAGGAGGCTCTGGCTGGTTTCCACATGCTCATCTTGGCCTGGAGAGAAAGGACTTAAATAGTGAAACTTTTATACTCATTTAACTGACACTGTTCAGCTCAGCCAACGTACTTTATACAATTTGCTTCTCACAGTCCTTGGGATAGACATTATCCCTTTCCTGTAGGTGAAGAGACAGAAGTTCAAGGAGTGTCAGTGACTTGCCCAAAGCCGCCAGCTAGTGAGGAGCATGGGGCTCAGCTTGGATCCAGATTTTGCCCCAGAGCCGTGGGAGTGTCACTGTCACTGTCTCTGGGCCCCACCCACCACCACGTGGGCAGGAGGCAGGGAGAGGCCCCCAGCTCACTTCGATGGGCACCCATGTGATCCTGGCTGCTGACCCTGGACAGGTTCCCACCTCTGGCTTCTCTTCCATAAAACAGATCAAAATGCCTGTCATCTAGAGTTGTGGGGAGATGCAGTGAACACACATGCAAATGCATGGGACCGTCTGCATTGCAGGAGACGGGGACGAGTTGTTACTGCCTCCTGGTGTGTCTCTGGCAGAGGAGAGAGAAATAGGAGGGCGACCCCAGCCCAGCCCAGACCCTGCTCCCCGCAGCCCCTTCACAGCCCTCTGCACCTTCTCAGGGCTGCCATTCTTCTGACTAGCTCTAAACAGGACCAGCAAAGACATAAAATTGCTGGAAGTGTTTAATTTATAAAAACCTCTTACCTATAAGAACCTTGAGGACATGATGCTGAACGACAAGCCAATCACAGAAGGACAAACACTGGATGAGTCCACTGACACGAGGTCCCGAGAGTAGCGAGACTCAGAGAGCAAGTAGAATGGGGGTCTCCAGGGGCTGGGGCAGGTGGGGTGGGGAGTCCATGTTTCATGGGGACACAGTGTCAGTTTGGGAAGATGAAGGTGTGGAGATGGATGGGGTGATGGCTGGGCAGCGTGAATGGACTTAATGCCCCTGAATTGGAAACATACAATGGTTAAGATGGTAAATTTTTGTTATGTGTCTTTTATCACAGTGAAAAAAGATTCTGTAAAGGAAAAGCCTCTTAGTCCTGCACATTTTGCCCAGGTTTCTTTGGAGGCTCTGGGAACTTGTTTTTGAGTGGATTTGGTTTGATTGCTGAGTTTCTTCTTCAGTGGGGCCTCAGGTTAGTACTTAAGGCACAAAATCATCCTCAGAAAATCCCAGAGGGCCCATGGAGGAGGTGAAGCCAGGCCAACACCTCGAGTTTTCCTTGGAGTGCTGGAACAAACACTGCTTCTTTGAGTATCCAGAGCAGTTGTTGATTTACATTGAGGGGTAATAACAAAACATATATAATGAGCAACTCCTAGGTCGGGAGGCTCCCACTGAGATACCCTCATAACCAAGGCCTGATGAGGAAACCGTGGCTCCTTAGCCCCTCCTCTGTTCCCTTGGGGCACAAACCAGTAAAACAGCCAGGGCCAGCAGCCCTGCTAGAGGAGGGATTCTGTTTTCTTCTTTCCATTTTGCAGAGTTAATACATCCCAGTTGAGTGGGTGTGTGAGGTTGCTCCACTAATGTGGCCTTTGTCCAGTCAAAGGAAACTGGACGTGTGCCTTACTCTCACCCCTCTTTCCAGCCAACTCTGATGGGTCTTAAACCCTAAATTACTCTCTGACCTTTGATGGGATTTATCAGCTATAGGAAAATAGTCCCTTTCCCCCACACCAGTTACCCCTGCAGGCTGCATCTCACAGATGTTCCCAGACACCTACTCAAACCTGAGATGTCCTAACTTTAAAGGATCTTTTCAGACTGAAGAGCCAATTCCTGAAGCCAAAGTTCAAATTGAAACCATAGGGTCCTTAGCTTTCAAAAAGATCTGTCTTCAAATTACAGAATACCACAGAGAGGTGGTTTGAGCAACATTCGCAGACCATTTTAAATGAAGCCGTGGGTATGAGCTGGCACTGTCCTCAGACAGGTCTGACCACCATCTTCCTCAGAGGGTGCTAGGCAGCATCTAGCCCAGCTCCAGGCATGGCAGGGACTCCACATAAATGAATGAATGACCAAGTATCCTGTCATTAATTTGGTGCTATTCTAGACCAATAGTATTCTGACTGGCAAGAATTTTGGGTTGTTATGTCCAAGAACTGAGAAGGAAACTAGTGAACTTTAATTCCAATTTTGTCATTAAATACTTTGCTAATGTCCAAGCAAAACTCTCTATCCTGATTTTTCTCATCTATGAAATTGGGAGAAAAGAGATCCGTAATGTAGAAGTACATTAAAAAATGAAACAGGAGAAATAAAACAATAAAACTCTTGTTTTTCTCCCCTGTGATGCGCTGGAATCCCAACCCAATAGGGGAAATGTGGGAATGGGGGTGTTCACTTGCATGACAACGTGAAGGATCCTGCCAGGGTCTCATGGTTGTTTTTTCGTAAATCAGTTTGGCTCTAAGAATCAGGTGAATGACATAACTGAGCATGAAAAATACTAAAACAGTAACCATGTGCCAGAATAAACAGTGAGAAGGAACCAGATCTCATGTCAAGGAGGCGCCGCCGGTGACCCGTCTTATTGAAAATGTGTCATTAATGCACAAAAAGCCTGAAGAGATCCAGTGAGCACCTCCCTGCCACGGCTGAACGCACCACCGCAGGCTTTCTTGGCCTGTAAAATACTCTGCCGGTCTGCCCCGCTGACACCTCACACCTCGGGGTATCTAACGTGTAGGTGAATTGAAACTATGCATGTTAGACAAGGTGAGGAGTTACTATCACATCCCGTCCTCAATAGAGGAAAAACACTCTGAGGCACCAAAAATATCTTCTCCTGGGTCAATGAACACGGAACTAAGCCCAACCCTCCAGCTCTACCTGGAAAGGCAAAACTTAGCGCCCGGTAGTTCAGGTTCTGGAGTCTGAGTGTCTGGGTCCCTAACCCCAGCTGCCATTTAGGAAGGAGCCTTGTGATTTGACACGGTGTCTGACTCTGCTGAGCTTCTGTCTCTGTGCCTATAAATTGTGAATGAGGATGGTGCTGTCACCTCACAGAGCTGTTGCGAAGGTTGACTGTGGTGTGTTAAGATACCCTGTTATGGACTGAATCTTTGTGTCCTCCCCTCCCCCAAATTAGTACGTTGTATCCCTAATTCCCACTGTGATGGTATTTGAAGATGGGACCCTTGGGCCATGATTATAGATTCTGAGGTCATGAGGGCAAGGCCCTCACGATGAGATTAATGTCCCGAGAGGAAGAGGGAGCGGAGCTTTCCTCTCTCCACATGGGAGGACACACGAGAAGGCAACCGTCTGCAAGCCAGGAGGGGGGTCCTCACCAGGAACCAAGTCAGCCTACACCGTGAGCTTGGACTTCTCGCCTTGCGGAACCGTGAGCAATAAACGTCTGTTGCCGAAGCCTCCCAGGCTATGGTATTCTGCACGGCAGCCTGCGCGGACTGATACATGCTGAGAGAGCTTGGAGCAGTGCCTGGTTCATGAGCATGTATTTATGTTGGACTCTTGTGAAACTTTATCAAGAAATATTACAGGCATTCTAAGTGTTTGGAGAATAATACAACAGGTACCCACCACCCAACACAGAGATCAGTCATGACCCGTTCGGGTAAGTATAGCGTCCCGGCTCACATTCCCTCCGCCCACCCGGACGTAGCCATGCTCCTGAATTTGGTATTTGTCATTCTCATGCGTTTCTTCATGCTCTTACTCCATCTGTATGTATCCGTAGACAATGAGAATACCTGGAAATACCTTTAAGCCAGGGCAGCCTGCGCCTCTCCCAGGAGGACTTAAGGCATAGCGTCCAGCCTAGCGTGAAGTATTGTACAGCAAGCATGTCCTGCTACCTGTGCTGTGTATGTCTTCACACTTCCCTGAGCAAGAGCGGGCTAATGTCTCCAGGTGGACTCCTCGGGGATGAAGCCATTAGCTAGGCCTCCTGTTAACGGGTCTGCGCTTGTCCGGAACTGTGGCGCCGCAGCCCCCGCCCCAGCTCGTGGCTGACGCCTCCCCTTTCTCCCTGCCAGATGGAGATGCGGCTGCAGGACCAACAGCTGGCCAGGCAGCTCATGCGCCTGCGCGGCGACATCCACAAGCTGAAGATCGAGCAGACCTGCGACCTGCACCGGAGGATGCTCAACGACGCCACCTTCGAGCTGGAGGAGCGCGACGAGCAGGCCGACCTCTTCTGCGACGCGCCCCTCGCCGCCTCCTTCAGCCTCTCCGCGCCGCTCAGGCTCATTGGCGTCACCAAGATGAACATCAACTCCCGGAGGTTCTCTCTCTGCTGAGACGCCCGAGGGGGCGGACCGGCCCCAGCAGAGGGCGGCGCGGGGGAGGGGGCTGCGGCCAGGGGCCCCTGAGCGCGTCTTCCCAGAGGCAGGGCCTGCCGGCCGCTCGCCCTGGGGACCCCGGCCCCCGAGCCCGGCACCGCCGTGACTGTCTCCTTACAATCCCAAGAATCCTGCGGAAGGGCCGCGCCGTCCACGCCCACCGAGGCCTGGTTCCCAGCGCCACAGGTCTCGGTCCTCGCCTCCTGGATCCACGTTCCTGTTCCCTGGAACCACTGGTGCTATGGACTGGGATCTCAGAGGGAGGCCCCCCAAGCTGTGATTCTTGCAGAAAGCTTCCCCGAGGGCACGGAGCTCCCAGTGGGGGGTGGCTAATTATGTCAGCGGTGCCATCTCCCTGTGGCTGACCCCCAAGGACTGCTTCCGATTTACCCTATTGACCTATTGTCGAGGTGACTCAGCCACCTCGACAGAGACCCACCCGGAAGGGACCCACCAGGAAGGGAGAGCAAAAAGGACACAGCAGAGCTTGGGGCTATGGGCTCCACCGCGGGCAGCCAGTGCCCGCGAGCGGGTGGTCCAGACTGCCCCCAGGCACCCCCTTGGCCCTGCAGGTGTGCTGGAAGCTGTTTCCAGTCCGCGTGGGACACAGCAGCCTAGCTTGGGTGAGCAAGCACAGATAGCCCCTGCTGCCCGCTCTGGCCACACAGACTGATCCCGGTCTCCAAAGAGCCCCACTGCCACCCTGCAACCCCGGGAGTCCCTAGGAGACGCCTGTGACTGGGCCAGGCAGGGCTGTCAGCAGATTGCCCAAAACTGAATTGGGAGTAGGGGGTGGGGCAGCAGAGCCTCCCGGCAGGGTCCGATAGTGTCACCTACGTCCCTTCTTGCCTTCCCCAGAAAGACTCAGGGGAGCCCAAGAGCCCCTCTGAGATTCAGCACCTGATTTAACTCATTTTAACTCAATCAGACTGTTACTAATCTGTTGCTAATTTGTTAATTGTTTGATCTTTGTCCCAGTGGCAGAGCCAGTGGGTAGGTCAAGTCCAGAGGTTCAGGATTTGATTTTAAAATGTTCTCCCTAAAGACAAGCACAAGGACCAGCAGGGTGAGGACTGAGACCTCAACAGGTTACAGTTAAATGGGCAGAACGCCATGCCCACTATCAGCTGGGAGCCTGGCCTTCGACGTCACCCAGCTGAGCCCTCTGTTCATAAAGGAGGAAAGTGAGGCCAGGGGAGAATGACTCCCCTCAGGCTACACAGCTCTTTAGTGGCCACAGAATATGGGTGTTAAATAATGCCTGGAAAGATCCTGTATCATTGACCTTGAAACCCAGAGATGGTCCCCCTGCTTTGCCAACCCCACAGACTGCCAACCCCACTTCTGTCCCCCTCGTTCAGCCCCATGCACCTCTCACTTTGCGGTGCAGAATATTTGGGCCAAACCCAGAGCAGTGCCTGGATGCCGGACCCACAAACGCGTATTACCAACTGCAAATCCATAGTCACAGTAAGGTGTCCCGCTGTGGTGTCTCCTGTTCTGTCTTCCTGTATGATCTCACTGGGGCGCATGCACACTTGACACACACACACACACACACACACACACACACACACACACACACACTCACTCACTCACCATGGCCCACAATGGGGAAAGGTTCTGTTTTGTGTGGGGGCGGAGAATGCAGGGGTCCCGCATTAGACAGAAAAAAACTTGATCTCTCCGTTGTCATTTCTGAGATCCAAAGCATTGCGCTTCCTTCAAAGAAGCCATGACAGCGTAGCCAAGACTTGTTTTCTGCCTGATTCTGAGGGTGATGGAAGTCTGAGGCCCAGGGGACCCCTCCACCTCAGTGGAGTGCCAGGCCCCCTCAGGAGGGAGATTTTCTCCACCCAGAGCTGTCCCCCGTCGGGATGATAGACAAACCCTGCCAAGTCCTACAGAGCGTTGCTGCCAGGCTTCCCTGAGATGAGTCCTAGAGGTTGTGGGGTATCAGTCTGGCCACACTCACTACTCACCCCAGAGAGACACGCATGTGCACATGCTTCAGCCCACACAGGAAAGCCCATTCCACATTCTGAAAAGAAAATACAAAATGGATTTTTTTTCTTTCTGGAAATCAGTCATTACAGAAAGTGAAAAAGTTGGATTCCACTGAAGCTGAGAGATTTGGTTGAATTTTGTGAACCCAGTTAAGTTGGGGTCAACTGGGTGATTTAGTTGCTCAGTTAACTTACTGGCTTCTTGCTTTCTGTTCTCTGAGAGGAAACTGGGATCAAGGCACACTCTTGATAGGCTGGAAGTCTCCTCTACTTCGCTCAGTCATCTCAAGAAAATTTTATTTTGAGATGAGGAAGGAGAACAAAGTAGAGCACATCTAAGATGAGAAGTGGGCAGGGAAGGATGGGTATCTTCCTAGGCATCAGCCACTGCTGTTAGCTCCCTTATGCCCACTGTGAACGCAACAAGCCAAGTTAGTTCATGAAGTCCCTGCCATGTGGGGCCCAAGACATGTACCTGAGTCGGCAAAACCTAGCCTGGCTGCAACTTCCTGGCTTCCCACGTGTACACGCTGTCTGCAGACTCACTCATTCCCTATCTGTCTCTCGGTCCTCCCCAGGGACCCCTGGTGTAAAACACAAAGGCTCCAGCAACACCGCCAGGCACCGGTAACATCCGATGCCCTCACGGGCTTGGCAGCAACACCGGAAGCCTGGAGGCTGTGGGCAGGCGTGAGATGGCCTGACCCAGCCCAGGCCTCCTCCCTGTAGCAATTCCAAGTGCTATTACTTAACCGACGGACAATTTCTAATTTTATTTTTTATGATTATTTGTTTCTATATTGCTGTTAGAAAAAGTGAAATAAAAATATTTCAAAAGAAGCTAACTATATAAAGAGGAGAAATTTGCTTCCTTTCCCCTTGTTCCTGTTGTAGCTCACACAGAAAGAAGGTGAGGGAGGAAGGAGGGAAGGGAGGGGAGGGGAGGGGAGGGGAGGGAAGGGAGGCAGGAGCGGAAGGCCAGCGGGCTCGAGCGAGCACCTTGCAGCAGGAGTGCTGAGGGAGAGAGGCTGACCCTGGTCACTCTGCTCTCTGTACTAGGAATCCCCCAAGGAGGGCTTCTGGGCGGCTGTCACCATCAGAGGCCCCCAGGGCGGGCTAAGTGAGCTCAAGATGTGGGGGTAGGAGGTGCAGCTATAGCTCCTGAATTTAACTGAGGCCAGAGCCAGGATAAACCCATTCTCTCCTACAGTAGCCCTTTCTAAAGGGGCCTCTGATTGGAGTTAGAATATTGGGTCCAAGTCAGAGCGATGCCTGGACAGTGGACCCGCAGGACGTGGACTCCGGCCACAGGTCCACTGTGGACATGCATTGCTCAGCATTACCTAACGCTGCAGACAACTTGTGCCTCAACTTTCTCAGCCTCTGAAGGCAGCAGTCCTCAACATTGAGCTTGCAGGAGAACCCCCCGGGGTGCCTGTTGCAAATGCATATTCCTGGCCAAGTTCCTGGACTCCCCCCGAGGAATTCTGAGTGTAGCCCTGGCATGGGGCCTAGGAATCTGTTTCTAATAAACACCTAGAGAATGACAAAGCTGGTCTAGAGACACTCGGAGAAACCCTCAAAAGGACAAAGCGGAGAGGCAGGCGTTGTTCTGAATCACTCCTCTCCTGGTGTTCTCAGGAGAGGCCCATGCAGCGAACCAAAGCAACTGTTAGTACCATGGTCCCCCCTTATCTGCACAGGACACATCCCGTCACCCCCAGAGAGCGAGTTAAACTGTGGCAAGTGCCAGACCTTATATATACCATGTTTTCTTCTACGCATACACACCTATAATAAAGTTTAATCTATACATTAGGCACAGCAAGAGATTAACAACAATAACTAATAATAAAATAGAACAATTATAATTATATAGTTTATGTGAATGTGGTCTCTCTCTCTCTCTCTCTCAAAATATCCTATTGTTCGGTACCCACCGTTCTTCTTGTGATGCTGTGGGATGATAAAACACATGCGTGAAGCAGTGAGGTGATGAAACAGGTGTGACGTAGCATCAGGCTACTGCCGACCTTCTGACCATACGATATGTCAGAAGGAGGGTCATCCTCTTCTGCTTCTGGAACACCATTAACCTCAGGTAACTGAAACCCCACAAAAGTGGAACCTGGGATAAAGGGGGACTACTGGAACCCCATTTTGCAGAAAGAACAGCTGAACAGCTCTGTGGCAGTTCCTTGGGGTATATAGTGTAGTCTGTGTATCCCAAGAGGGTGAGGGACCGGGTCTGTTTCCCACACAGGGTGCACAGCGTAAATAGGCTGCGTGGCGTCTGGACCACAAGGAGAGGGCTGGACGGGGCACTCAGGAAGCCCCGATCAACGTCGGCATGTAGCTCCACAGGCACCTACAGAACCACCAGGCCTTTCCATCTCTGCAGATGGGCCCAGACAGATGCTTTCAGTCCGAAGGGCAACACTCTAATGTGGTGTCCAAATGAATTAAATCATGTGAAGTTCCACAGTGAAGATACACATGACAACGCATCCTGGTGTGAGAGGGGGCTGCTTCACGTGGCTGGGAGGCCTCTCCGAGAAGGTGCCATTTTAGCTGAAACTGCAGCTGCTCAAACGTCGGGAGAAAGAATGTTCTGGGTAGAGAAACAAGGACGCAGGTCTGGGTGGGCAGCAGGCAGCGCGACTGGGGTGGCCAACAGTGCGGACCTCGTGGGTCAGAGGACGGGGTCTGGGTCCCGTCTGGAGTGAGGCTGCTGATCTGATATGAACACCAGCAAGGCCCCTGTTGAAAGGTGGAGGGAGTGGGGCAGAAGTGGAGGCCACAGGAGGAGTTAGGGGGTGATGGCAGGAGACACAAGGGTGGCTTGGAAGAGGATGGCAGCTGTGGAGGGGGCGGTAAATGGTCTGATTTGGGACAGACTTTGAGGTAAAGCCAGCATGACACACGACAGCTCAGATGTGTAGAGGATACGGAGGGCCCGAGCAGGGCCCTCCGGCGGCAGCTATTTCCTGAGGTGGAGACGGTTGGAGGGGAGTGTGACGTGTGACAGGGGTGCAGGGCGGCATGAGGGTGTGTTGCAGCCCATTGTGTTTCAATGTGTATTGGGCATCCTAATGGGGGGAAAGGGTTGCTTGGACAAGAAGACCTGGGCTTCAGGGGGAGGCCAGTGCTGGAACACGCACTGGGGGTCTGGATCGGGGTGTTTGGGTGACACTGAAATCACTGTACCTGGATAAACCCCTCCATGAAGAGACTGTAGGCATAAAGGGGGGCCCAGCCCCATATCCTGGGGACTCCAACACCGAAAGGTCAGAGAGAAGGGGGACCCATCCGAAGAGACTCAAAACAGTTACTAAAACCCAAGGAAAGCCAGGTGGGGGGCCTGGGGGCCAGAGGAGGGTATGTCTTGAGGAGAGCGTCGTCCCCAGCACACGCTGCGGAGAAATTTATGGAGAAGGGGCCAGAGAGAGGGACAATGGTCCCACTAGAATGGAGACCCCCTGGTCATTAGGGCCGGGTGCTAGCCCTTTCAGTCCAGGATCAGGACAGATTCCGGTTCTGTGGGTTGAGGAGAAAGGGGAGATGAAGAAATGGAGGCAGCGAAGAGACTGCTCTTCCCAGTGAGCGTGCGGTTAAGGGAGCAGAGGAAGCGGCCGGGTGAAAACCTCAAGTCAAGGAAATGAGCTCTGGGTTCTTGGTAACAACGTGCAGTAACACCACTGTATAATAAAGCAGGGTCATATGTCAGCGCATGATATAAAAATGTGCCTAAGAGGCTTTGGCATCTAAGACATTCCAGTGGAAATAGCCCCTCAGGAAGGGGCGAGGATGGGCACAGGGGCAGGGGGCTTGAAGCAGTGCGGTCCAGGCCGGGCAGCCGGCAGGGGGCAGGCGGTGCCCGGAAGGGTGACCTGTGGCTGGTGGATGCCGGACGGTTGAGGAGAAGGCTGCTTTGGAGCTGTCATCCGGGAGAACAGACAGGTTCATTTATGGTGTGCGGGTGGCTGTCCCCGGGGGGCTGGCTGCCCACTGGAGGCGTGTGGTCCTGCAGGCGAGCAGATCCAGTGAATGAGCCTGAGGGTTCTTCTCTCCAGCCAAGGTTAGCTGACCGGGCGCAGGCACAGAGCCAGCGCAGAGTGGCAAGTGGGCGCGCCAGGCGGGGACGCTGGGGGCCACGGAAGGCGGTACAGCGTCCCGCACAGGAGTGGTCACAGTCCTGGGCCCTGGAGGTCAGGCCAAGAGGGAAGAGGGGACATGGGGGCGCGCGGGCGCGGGCACAGGAGCAGTGGCCTGGGGGTCCCACCCGTCTGGAAATCGCGGGGCGGGAGGTACCGGAGCAGGAGGGTTGTCGCGGTCCGAGCGTGAGGAGGGCGGCGCCGTGCTCGCCTCCCGGGGCCCCACGAGGCGCGCACCCAGGGGGCTGGTGGCCGAGTCCGAGCGCCGGCCTCCTGCAGATCTGACCCGGCTTATCCGAAAGGGGGCTCTGGGCTCCGCCGACGGCATTCCCTGCGGCTTCTCGGCCAGAACAGAAGCGTCGCCCCTTCCCGATTCTCCAGCCGAAGCCCGAAGCCTGCGGTCACGGGGCTGGCGGCGGAGCAAGGGCGGCCCCGCCGGCACACTCGGGCCCCTCGGCGGGGACCCGCCCGGGCCCCCTGCAGGCTGCGGGCCTGGCTGCTTCGGAACCGCCTGTCCGCAGGCCCAGAGCAGACAGCGATGGAGGCAGCGGGGCGGTCTCCGCAGGAAGCTGATTCCGGAAAAGACACCGCGGGGGCTCCAGGGCCCTGGAAAGCAGTCCTGCACCCCTCGCCGCAGGGAGAGAAGGTCACGGGGACGTCCCAGCCGCGGGCCAGGCGGAGGAGGGGGTGGACACGCCGGGAGATCACGCGGCAAAGCGGGGGTCTGCGCCCTGCGGCTGCACGTGCTTCCTGAGCCATTTTGTCGGAGGGGCCCTCGTCGGCTTTGCTCCTACTGCTTCTCCATTGAAGCTCTAAGAAAGGGAAGCTGCCCCAGACTGGTGGTTGCCATGGGGAGGGGATAGTGGGGGCGGGGCTGAGATAGGGGGAGGGGAAAAAATTAGTGGGCATTTGATATCTTCATCTAGGTGATGGTTGCATGAGTCACACACACGTCAGAACTCAGGCAGCCATTCCCACATTTGCCCATTTTAGTGTATGTTCCTCACTTTAAAAAGTACAAATTAAATTCTGAGAAGGAAATGAAAACTATATACTATTAAAAATAAATTAATACTGAAAAAAACCCACAAAACACAAAACAAAGGACAGTTCAGCAGAGAACATCCATCGTCGGAGGGAAATCGTTGTCAGAGAGCGGCAGCCGGCCGCCCGTGTGCCTGCAGGAGGCTCACCTCCCCGGCGGAGGTGCCAGGCCGGGAGGGAGGGTGCTCAGGGCATGAGCCTCGCCGGGAGGGTGCCACGCGGCGGGTGGCTCCGGGCTGGGGGTGGAGCAGACGGCTCTGCGTCCGCACCTGTACCTGCTGGAAAGCTAAGTGGCGCTCAGCATCCGGAAGGGGAGGAGCTCATCCAGGGAACTGGGGGCCCCAGAAACACCGGAGGGTCCAGGCAGCGGCTGCCAGACAGGTCCCCACAGAGGTTCCCACACTGCGCTGGTGGTGAGCAAGCCCGGCAGGTGCCCCGGGGCCTCCGGGCAGCACCTAAGTAGCTGACTCCCAGGAAGCCGTCCGTTCGCACCTCTACCTGCTGCCACCACCGGGAAGTAACGGCTTCACATGCTGTCATCAGCTGAACTGTGTCCCTTCAAAGTCCCACTGTCTCAGCCCTCCCCGCGTCCCTCAGCATGTGACTATATTTAGAGACAGGGCCTTTACAGAGGTGAGTAAG